AGCCACGTGGCTTCCCAACGGTAACTGGGTTTTCTGGGCCCACGGGCCCGTGCCCTGAATTCCTGTCGGGCGACACGACCCCACTCGTGAGTGAGGGGCACGCGCTTGACACACACAAAAAAAAAAAGGGCTGGACCCAGGCCTGACTTCACGAGCCTCGGGCCACAGGCCTGTCGATTCCCCACCCCCCCTCGGCCCTCGGGCTCCCACCCTCACTTGGGCTCTCCAAGGCTGGAGGCCTACCGACCGGCCCTCGGGCCCTTTCCTGGAGCCTGTCCCCGGAGCAACCACCATGGGTGGACTTGCTCTTAGGAAAGAAGAGTTCGCAACCATGCATTTCTTTACTCTCATGATGTAAATATATTATTGTAATTTGTGACAAAACAAAAGGTCTCGAAAAACAACTATACAATATTCAAAAGAGAAAGAAGATGTTGTTGAGCTTGATTGTATTCAAAGAAGAAAACTTTTCTACAGATCTATTTGTGACTTTGCCATATTTGATGAGACTAAACTTTTTATATATTTTTTCAATAACTTATTGAGCTTAGGACTAGTTTAGTAATGTTGTGCTTTAAAAAAAATGCTTTTGTTGTGTTGTGAAAATAAACAGATGTGAAATAAAGCAGTAATGTGTTTGGTAAACTATAGTTGTAAAGGTACTTTTGGCAAAAAAAGAAGTATTACAGTGTTTGGTAAATCTTTTTATAAAACAACTTTAATTGTGTAAAATAACCAAAAAGAGCATAATACTATATGTGCTATTATATTAAATGTTTGACAAACAAAGATCAATTTTTAAATATACTTTGCCACTAGCAGAGCCACGGTAAGGGCTACCCTGGGCTATAGCCCCAGGTAGCTGGTGAAAAATAAAATTTTACATGTAAATTTAATTGATTTTTGAATGTAGCCCACCATATATTTAGTCATTAATCCGAATTCTCACAGTTTAATTATATAAAATTATATAATACAGTTTACAAATCATCTCTTCTTCTTACATCCTTTTTCTCATCACTTCTTGTAAATGTATATGTTTGAATTTGTTTGAATTTTAACACGTATTTATTTAATAACAAAAATTCTTGGCTCACCTTTTGAAAATTTTCTTAAGCTAGCTGATATTGTGAAAAATACAGTATCAAGTTTCTTTGTTTATAAAGATTTAAAATCTTTAAGCTAGCCCACCCGGTGAAAAATTCCTAGCTCCGCCATTGTACTTTGCTGTGAAATATTTTATCTTAATTTAAATCTATTCCAAATACTAATTAGTACGACAAATTACTTCAAAATATTAAAATCTTTCAAATAGAATGGTAAGAATCATTAGAAGATCTTCAATAATAATAGCTAAATTTTTTTTCTATTTTAGCTAGCCAAATGACAGAATGCTATTATTTTTTTTAGCCAAAAGAACCATACATAGAAAACCCTTTGATACAACCATTCCTACCATAATCAAAACGAAGAGCATTTAAAGCAAAATGAGGAACATAATGCTCCCACAAATGACAACCAGTTATTAGAAGACCCTAATGAGCAAAGGTATTCGCAACAAAGTTTGCCTCTCTAAAGATATGGTTCCAATAGATAATACTAAATTTGGTCGATGTCCATTTAATATCTTCAATGGTATGCTCCAGATTCCACAGCATCGAGCACACTCCCTGCACAGCCTGGATGACCAGCTTAGAATCGCCTTCCACCATGATCTTTGACACACCTTTTCTAAGGGCAAACATTAGACCCTCTCTTAGACCTTTAGCTTCAACTTCGAAAATAATGGCTCAGTTAAGATTTAAAGCCCCATCAGCAGTAAGAATTTCATTATGTTCCCTAATGGCGAAGCTATCCGCTACCTTGACCCCGACTACAGAACCATCAAAATTTAATTTAACAAAATCCTTATCCGGTGGATGCCATTTAATAATTGTCAATTCATCATTTGAAATCTTCTTAGTACACTTGTTGATGCACAAAACTGAAGGGGTCTTGGAACAACGTAAATCCGACCGTGAATCTGCATGAAAGTAAAGAACACAAGATGTATCGTGGTTCACCCTAATGTTTGGGCTACGTCCACACTGATGTTGATTGTATTTCTGTCTAACTGTATGTATGGATTACACGGGTGAGGGGGAGTCCCCCAAAGAAAGAAAGGGTTTGAGAGAGCTTCTCTGTGAAGATGAGAGCTATGAATATGAGAGCCTCTGTTTGGGGATCTCAGGCCTTCTCATTGTGAGGGTGAGGAGTCCCTTTTATAGACTAAGGGCTCCTCACTTATTAATATTTGCCCTTTCATTTATTACATAATTACACTTGAGTCCCCCAAGTATTTATACGAGGTCTAAATACGGAGGCCCTAAGTATGGTACAAACAGTAGTCCCCTAAGTCTTCAGTCAAGAAAGTCTTTTGGCTGGAGATTTGAAATTCAGTCCATGTGTGGGCCGAAGTAACTAAATGTCGTCTAGAATTGATACTCGATATGAGGCGGTGCCTAATCTGAAATGATGCTCAACTAGAAGTAGCACATGTTACGAGGCTGCTCTGCTTGTGACTTATGTTGCCTTGGTTGGCTCGGCTTTGTGGTGTTGAAAGTGAGGGAGTCCCTTTTATAGAATAAGAGCTTGCTCCTTAATACATAAATGATGGGCTAAAGTTTATGCTCGCGGCGATGCGGTTACTCAGCAGACGGCAATGCTTTCTAATGATGGTGAGGGAGTCCCTTTTATATAATAAGGGATCGCTCCTCAATACATAAGTGATAGACTAGAGTTGATGCTCGCGGCGAGGCGGTTGCTTAGCAGGCGGCGATGCTCTCTAGTGATGGTGAGGGAGTCCCTTTTATAGAATAAGGGCACGCTCTTTAATACATAAGTGATGGGCTAGAATTGATACTCGCAGCGAGGCGGTTGCTCAGCAGGTGGCGATGCTCTCTAATGAGTCCCTTTTATAGAATAAGGGCTTGCTCCTCAACATATAAATGATGGGTTAAGAGTGATGCTCACGGTGAGGCGGTTGTTCAGCTGGCAGCGATGTTTTCTAATGATGGTGAGGGAGTCCCTTTTATAGAATAAGGGCTCGCTCCTCAGTACATGAATAATGAGTGCTCTCTAATGAAAGTGGGGGAGTCTCTTTTATAGAATAAGGGTACGCTCCTCAGTACATAAATAATGGGCTAAGTCCCCCAAATATTTTTTATGAGGCCCAATATATGGTACATAGTGTAGTCCCCCAAGTTTGCAGTTAATAGAGCCTGTTGGTTGGAGACTTCAAATTCAATCCATGTATGGGCCGAAGTGGCGGTTGTTCGGAGACGGTCTTTGTATACCATGCACTGAAGCTTTGTAGGTGAAGCTTTGGAGCTTTTGTAAATGAAGCTTTTGAAGTCGGAGCTTTGTAAATGAAGCTTTCGAAGCTGATTGACATGAGTGATGCTCATGAATGTTTATGTAGATTTGACATGAGTAATGCTCATGGGTGTTGACATGAGTGATGCTTATGAATGTTGACATGAGTGATGCTTATGAATGTTTATGTATGATTGACATGAGTGATGCTCATGAATGTTTATTTATGGTTGACATGAGTAATGCTCATGTATAATTTTAGAGTACTGGACGTACTTTTGATCACCTGGTTGGTGATAATAACGGCAGGCTGCCGAATAATTTTTTGTAGTACTGGACGTACTTTTGATCACCTGGTTGGTGATAATAGTGACAGACTGCTGAATAATTTTAGAGTATTGGATGTACTTTTGATCACCTGGTTGGTGATAATAGCGTCAGGCTGCCGAATAATTTTTTTGTAGTACTGGACGTACTTTTGATCGCCTGGTTGGTGATAATAGAGGGCCTGGCTCTTTTGGGCATATGGACCTTCACCCTCCACATAACATTCCAGCCCATTATTTTGGGCTTGTCGTTTTTGTTTTTTTTGTTTTTTTTTTTTTCGATTACCCTCTAATGGGGTTATACAGATGTCTCCGAAAGATAAGAAAAATAAATCACATCATTCAAAAATAAATCTGACCCTCTGCTCAATGGGTCACGCCCATAATTCTCTTTTCTGCATGCCATCACCACCGCAATTATGTCTGCTTTTTTATATTCTTTTGCTTTCTGCTTTTGCTTTAGTTTTTCTGCTTTGCTTTTGCTTTCCCATGTGCTCTCGCAGAGCAAAGCTTCCCTTTATTCTTTGCTTTTGCATGTGGGTGGTCGACAGCGCACCCTCTTTTTAGACAATGGAATGGTTGGGCAGCCATGCTTGCTTTTTATTTCCTGTCTCGGCTTTTCTCCATTATTCTCACATCTTTTTTTTTTTCTTTTCTCTACTCTTGCGATGCAGTAACCGAAGAGAGGCAATAGGTTGGGATGTTTCAATCTCGAAAGATTTTCAAACACTTGCACCGCGTCATCGTAATCAACGTCCCTGGCGTTCTCCAACACCTTTATAGCCACGTGGAGGTCGCCGGGTAGCACGACGGTGTAGACGGGCCCTTGCATCTTGATGTCGGTGACCCACGACGTGCCCGACTCGGTCTCGAAAGAAGGTGACTCGGTCTTGAAAGAAGGTGACTCGGTCTCGGTGTAAAAAAGAGATGGGCTTTAGACTTCTAGAAATTCTGCAGCTGGAGATATCGAGGTGCTACAAATTGCTGAGGTTAGAGAAAGCAAACGGATGCAGAGTGCTGAAATCGTTGTAGGAAAGGTCAAGAAATGTAAGGTTCGGGAACCTAAAGAGCTGGCCCAAGTTGGTGTACCAGTTATATGAAAGATTGTGGTCCTGCTGGACGATTCCGATGAGATAGTTTTGAAAGCAATTTCTATGATGCTGGTGAAGTTGTTGGGCATCAGAAGCTTGATGGATAGGTTTGCGAAGTGGACTACCCTCCTTCCCAATCTGCTTCCTATTATGAAAGATTTTCTCGACTTCTCTGGCGAATTTTCAAAATTAATTTGTAACTAAATGAGAAATTTAACTAGCAAAAAACCTAAGGAAGGTTGCCTTTCCAGTACCCTTTAATCCGTTCTTCCTTCCCTATCATTGTTATGGCCTCGAGAAAACTGATCGCCTGGTTAGCGCTTTGTTGCCCAACTCGCACCCTATGAGTCTGCATAAGAATCTTGATGCGGTCAAGCGGAGCCGTGACGCTCTCAGCGGCGGCTCCAGCAATGGCTCTGGCAGCAAATAACGCAACGTCTTTGGGCACACATGCGAGAATAGCCAAAGGATGCTTCAACAGCTGAGCCGAGGTTGACAAAAACTAGTTCCTTTTTTCTCCCCTTTCTACCATCGGAACGTAGGCGAAATTGCACCGAATTCCATGGCTGCTGCTGAAGTTGAGCTGCGCAGTCGTCCACAACGATTCGTGGTCGTCCGTGGCGTCGATGAGGGCGCAGCAGGAGGCATTAAGGCTCAGGATGCTCCGCCATGATACAATGGCTCTGGGATCTTCGGCCATGGCTGGGGAATTTTGAAGAAGGGAGGTGGAAGAGTGAAGGGAAAAGGCGAGGGAGGTGGTTATAGAGAGAGTTCTCCTGAATATGTAGTTGCAGATAAGAAAAAGTAAGCTCCTTTCAGCTCCTTTCCATGTTGTGATTTGGTAAAGAGGGAATTTCTGGTTTCTTGGAAAGATGGGTTGGTCGATTTGGTTCTTGGTTTCTGCAGATTCACGGCGGAGGTGAAAAATTGAAAGAGGACTGACATAGATTTTCGGAGTGTTTCCCACAGTCAGCGCCAAATGTTGATGCACAAAATCAGTGAGGACTTTGGTACAACAGAAAGTGTTAAGTTTGTGACCTTCGCTAGATTGCTCCGGTCACTAGTATGTAAATGATAGAGACAGGGAAGCAAACACAAGATGTACGTGGTTCAATTGGCTATGTCCACGGAGTAGAAGAGTTCTCATTAATTGTGAAGGGTTTACAAGGGTAAAGGGGGAGTCCCCCAGAGAAAGAGAGGGTTTGAGAGAGCTTCTGTGTGAGGATGAAAGTTCTGAATATGAGAGCCTCTGTTTGAGGATCTCAGGCCTTCTCATTGTGAGGGTGAGGAGTCCCTTTTATAGACTAAGGGCTCCTCACTTATTACATAATTACCCCTTCATTTATTACATAATTACACTTGAGTCCCCCAAGTATTTATATGAGGTCTAAATACGGAAGCCCTAAGTATGGTACAAACAACACTTATTGTTGTACTTAGAATATCTTTCACCCAAAGGTAGAGCCAAGAATTTAGATCTCTATGGAGTAGGCATAACTCCTCTTATAACCTTATTATTTCTATCATGCCTAATTTGCCAACATAATAATAAAAACAAACTGAGCTCACTCAGACCTTCCTTATCCACATGATTTAGAGAACTCATACACTCAACAACAGAAACAAAGTTATTAGTATAAACAACATCAGGAGCGTTAGAAACCAAGTTCCAAAGAGACGAGAAACACTACACTAAACAAAATAAATGCATTTGGTTCTTTTCATCCATATTGCAAAAAGGGCACAGACTATCATTATTAGACAAAAAAAGACTTAGTTTTTTCTTCGTTTGTAATCTTTTTCTAATAAACAACCAAGCAAACATTTTAACTTTAGGAGGAATATTGAGCTTCCACATTTTATTGATCACCTTATGTCTAATTGACTGCACCAGAGAGCCATTTTGGATCCAAGTTTCCAATTTAATGGAAAATTTACCGTTAGTGGTAGGACCTCAAATGATCTTATATTTGGTGTCAAGAATAAGAATTAGAATATTGCCTATTTTTTTCATCACGTCATTACATACTATTTGGACCAGTTTCTCCATGTCCCAACAATTATTAATAATGAAATCACTCACTCTCAAGTTCCAATCAATATTTTGAGAATCAATATCAGGTAAGATATGGAAGAGAGGATAAAGAAAAACCCAATTGTGGGTCTAGAACAATATGTCATGGCCATTACCCACTCTCCACCTAATCCCTTTAAAAATGACATCACTGCTCTTCAAAATGCTCTTCCAAGCCAAAGAATAATTTTGTCTAACTTTATTTCCCAAAAAACCCTTCTCTCGAAGGTACTTACTTTTAACCAACCTCACCCACAAATTATTCTCATCCGTTAGAACCTTCCAACCTAGGGCTGGGCACGGGCCGGGCCGAGCCGGGCCGAACCTAATTTTCAAGGAACCGGAGGTTAAAAGAAACGGGCCGGGCCGAGTCGGGTACATCATATTTAATTACAGGAATCGGACCGAACCCGGCCCGTTTCAAACGGGCCGGTCCGGGCTGGGTCCACCGGTCCGGGCCGGGTCCACCGGTCCTTGGTTATTTTATTTTATTTTTTTTTTTGCGAAACCGCTACGGAAAGGACTCCAGAACCACCGCCATGCTGCCTTCGTCGTCGCACCACAGCTTCTCCACCGAGCCCCGCGCCGGCACCGCCACGTTTCTCACCATGGCCAACATCCTCACAAGCAACACCTCCATGCTTTCCGACTCTGGTGGCACCTGCTCCGTGTCGGATTGCATCCCTCTCTGCTCTCGGACTACCTAATGGAAGAGAACAAAACAAAACACACCATTTTAATATTCAATACCCAATTTTTCAAATGGCAAACAGATTTTCAAAGCTTTGATGGTTTTGATTTCTGTTGGCAATGGTTTGATCCACGATTCTGTGTCCAACACCCAAGAACAATTTGGGTAACGACGGATAATCATTTCTACAGCAGTGGCTTACAATTACATTGGAATGGCATGCAAACAACACGGTTGCAGCCATAGTTTGTTCCTCTTTCTTGTTCTGCTCTTTCTGTTACTGAAAATGTGAAGAGCCATAAAAAAAAGTTAGCAGCTTTCCATCACTAGTTTACAGGTGTTTTCCCACAAAGTAAGATTGCTACCCTCTTGTGCAGCATTCACGATAACTTATAGCGGCAACATAATTTGCATAAGTTCAGTAGCACAAGTTTGTGAATGACTTAAACAAACTCAAACTAATGCATTCTTCTGTGGATAAGCTCCACAAATTCAATCAAAATTAGATAACCTCATTACCCGAAATCGCGGACTTTCTGTGGTCTCTGTGTATGGCTTTCTAGCTTTGTCAATAACTCTCATGAAAATGTCATTAATTAGAAGAATATCTAGAACCAAATTAGAAGCTTTTTAGCTACATCTCAATCATTCATTAGCAAATTATCTATTGAATCGCGAGGCCAACACTAAATTAGAAATAACCAAATTCATAGTTTTCTAGACATTAATTGTATTGTTCTTTTCAAATTATAAAAACCCCATTTTTCTCTACCTTCACCACAATCAGATTCCAATCTCATCATCTCCAAATTTGCCACCTTTCCCAGATTTCACTATCCCTTTTCCACAAATATTAACACACACAGGAAATAACTCACAAAAAAACAGCCAAATTCCCAAAAACCAATCTCTCTAACTTCGGGTGATTAACAAAAAAAACTGAAAAATTAAATCCCATCAAGCAAACTCAATCAATCTCTTAGGAGCTCTCTCAATTGATCCTCGATGAAAGCCTTACCTCCTCGGTGTTGAGAAGATGACGCTTTCACATGTCCAGTTCTCAGAGCGAAAATGCAGAGAAAATTAGCAAAACCCAGCTGGGATTAAGAACTTAAAGAAGCAAAAGAAGCAGAAGAAGAAGAAAGTTCGGGGAGAGAGAGAGATTGTGGGAGATAGAGCGGCTGAGACAAAGTGAATTCTGGAAAGTTGGACTTGGTAGAAACTAGGGCAGAAACCAACGGTTGAGATTGGATGATTGGTTATCATTCAATCTCGGCCGTTCATTATAATTAGAAACGGGCCGGTCCGGGTACCCGTTTTTCTAAGCATCTAGACTCGGCCCGCCCCGTAAATGAAAAGGGCCCGGCCCGGCCCGCCCCGTTTGCTCTCTAAAATATTAGGAACCGGCCCGTACCCGCCCCAAACCGTGATTACCCACCCCGACCCGCGGTTCCTATACCCGTTTGCCCACCCCTATTCCAACCCAACTTAACTGGACAAGCATTATTAAATTGATCTAGATACCTAACTCCAAGGCCACTAAATTTCTTGGGAGTGCACACACTATCCCAAGCAATGGGAAAAATCCTCCTATCTGTATCTCAAAAGAAACCCCAGCACTCCTTATTTAGCTTATTCAAAATTTTATCCGACATTTAAAACAAGACATAACATGGTTAGGCATACCTGTAAGATTTGAATTAGTGAGACTGTAACCATTAAATCCCCGTTCTAGGCAATTGATTGGGCTATCATATGTTGTAACCATGAAGCTCGATGGTTCTAAAATGTCACGCTGGAACCGTCACAAATCGAGGCATGCAATGGGTGTTTTTAGTCCCTAAAGTGAATAAGAGATGATTGGTGGTAACGTGGAAGTTCGATTCGCCAGTATTTGGCCAAAAACAGCTCGTCGGTCTTAGGGCACCAGAACCCTAACTGCTTAATCGAAAACAGCTAAGAATTTCTAGAAATCGATTTGAAGGTTAAATTGAGTGTGAGGATAGTTTGTTTCTGGTTTTTTTGTGGTCAGTCGTCGCTAGTTGAGTCACGAGGAGAAAAGCAAGAAGGAAGAGAAAAAGGAGAAGGAAAAAAAATTAGAAAGAAATACAGTATGTATATGATAAGGCTGAAGACATAATCAGAATTAGAGCAAAAATGCAAGGGTAAAATCAGGAGAAGACTGTGCTTATGAACAATAATTTAGTTGATTTTGGGTTTTAGTATATATTGAATTTCAATTTCTGAGCAAGGGAAACCAATTAAGATTATTGATCATAATTTAAACATTATTTATTGTCATGAAACTTACAATTAAAATATAGAAAGAAATACTTACAAAAATGTTGTCTGCAACCTCGTTGCCATAATTGGCATGCGTCTCCCCCCAAACCTCGACCTTTGGGAAATGTGAACCAGTCGCCCACTGGTTCTCGACCCAGTAAGATAGGGGTCGAGAATCAAAGTGATGAAGGTATGACTTCTTCTCCAGGTTACCTTTATTTGTCGCCGATTTTTTATGTCAATTAAAAATATTAATTAAACTTAACTAAAAAAATATAAAATTGAACTAATATTGAAATATAAATAAAATTTAATTACCTGAAATTTTGTACTCTGAAAATGAGTGCACAACCACTGCCATTCGCCCACCTTCTCCACAAATTCCTAGGGTGGACTTGTAGGAGCTGCCTCATGTGACACACAAATCTAGTAGTACTTGTGTAACTCATACTTCCGTTCCTTACACTGCTCCATCTACACCCGATTTATGTACTTGAGACAAGCCTTGTTATGCTCATCCCACTCGGAGTTGGCATGAATTCCATAAAATAAAAAATAAAAAATAACCAAATAGTTTAGTTTTCTACCACATCAAATAAGTAAAGGATTTTTTTAAAAAAAAAAGTTATTGTATACTGACCAAAAGCTGTTGGTTCACCTTTCACGAACTTGAGGGCTATGCATCTTCCAGCAATCAACAGCCATGTGGCATTTGTTACGGAAGATGGCACCCATGTTGTGAGTCAACAAACTTTTGACTTTGTCACTTGTTCAATGGTGACTAGGGAGGTATGCAACTCGAATTCGCTTATGTGTAACTTTAGTGATCAAGTTGATCGCCAACAACCTACAAATCCCCCGATTTTTTGGTCCTCGGGCCGATGGGGAGCTCTCTATCTCCCACCTCTTCCACGGCCGCTGAATCGTTCTGTGCACTAGGACTGCCTTGAGAAGGGTAGGATGAGGCTATGCCAGGGGTTGCCACATGCTTGTGGTGTTTGCGACTATGAGGCCGCTTGGCAAATCATGCCATCTAGGTTAATGGCACATAACTACTCGCACCGGGGGCCGACTTGGCAGTGGCTGTTTGGATCTTGTTGGTCTCCTAAGTGGCCTTTGGGGTCAACCCCTCACTCTAAGCAGAGGCGAAGGCAGAGCTGCCAATAATAATTAGGCATGAAGACATATATGAAAAAAAATCATGATTTCTAAAATTTCCTACTATTTCTCATATTTCTAAAATTTTACTAAACTTAAAACATTTCCTACAAATTTCACAAATTTCCAAAAATTTCCTATAATATTTCAAATGTTTCTAAAATGTAAACATTTCCCACAAATTTCACAAATTTTCATAAATCTCTTACAAATTTCTCAAATTTAATCAATTTCCCACCACCATTGTATCCACCCTACCACCACCACCACACCCACCCCACCACCACCATACACCTCACTACCTCCTACTCCCACCCCATCACCACCATACCCACCCCACCACCGCTACCACCACTGTACTCACCCCACCCACATATCACAACGTATTTCCAAGTCAAATCACACCATAATCAATCACAATTTGAAATCAAATCCTAATATAATCAATCCACAAATCATAGAATAATCAAATCCTAACAATTTCAAATTAAAAATAATATAGAAGAGACATTATATTCACATCCCAAATTACTTCCCACACCTTCTTATTTTTTATTTTTATATTTTTTAATATTTTAAACCCTACTAACACTTGATAAAAAAATATTAAAAATTTAAAAAAATGTGGGAAAAGTAATTTAAAGTGTGGGAAAAGTAATTTAGAGTGTTTGAATATAATCTCTCTAAATAAAATAAAAATAGGAAGAGAGAAACAGACTTATAGTTGAGAAATGGGAGACAGAGAGGGGAGGATTTGAGAGAGAGAGAGAGACAGACAGACAGAGGAGTTCAGAAAGAGAGAGGACAGAGAGGGAGTGATAGCAGAGAGGCTTTGAGTGTTGCACGGCACGAGGAGGAAGAAAGAAGACGAGTCTGAGGGTTATACATTTTAAATCTTTACCTGGCGGATCGGGCGACGGAGTACGCGGCGGGAGAGCCGCTATCGCTGTGCTAGAATACCTCGCCGCTGAGGTTAGTTTGTTTTTTGTTTTTAGTTTTGGGTTTGATTTTGATTCTGCAATTTCATGTTTTTAGAATTTGGGTCGATCTAATTATGAGTATAATTTTCTGGGTTTAATCCGATTTCTGGATACAAATCGGTTTAGTAATGTGTTATTAGTTTTTGAAATTCAACATTTGTTCGTTATTGGTGGGTTTTGATTCCCTGGAGTTTGATTGGTTAAGATTTTCATGTTTATTGGCATTGTATATCTCGAACTTTTATGCGTTTGATCTGATTTTTTTCTTGTGAAATTTTGTTTAGGTGTTGGAGCGAGTGCCCTTTTGAAATTTCATTTTTTTTTCTTTCTGTTTCTCATTAATTTTCTTAATCTCTAATTTTTAGATTTTTAGTAGAAAAAAGAAAAAGAAAAAGGAAAATAAAATTGAGGTTGTAGATTATTGGTATATAAAAATTTTGTAATTTTTTGTGTATTTTGTATGTAAGCATTTTTGTTTAGATTATTGGTATATAAAAATATTGTAATTTTCTGTTTGTCTCTGTGTGTGGGATTAGTTTGTTGTTGTTTTATTTTTGTGTTTATTTGGAATTTGTAAATTCGAGGGTTGACAGGGTAGAAACGGGATTATTGGAGGGACGCGTTTGGCGATACGGACAGTAAACTTTGATACCAATAGACTCTCATTTTAGGACTTCGGACCCACCGTTAACAGGGAGGATCTTCATAAATTAAAATAATAAATTATATTTGGTCTTACCGTCCCTTGGCCCTCTTGGTTGGAGAATTTTTTTGTCATGGGGCTATTTTTGGCCTATGGCCCTTCGACCCCTCAGTTGGACACGGTAAGAAATATGGTCTGGCACTGTTCATTAAAATATTAATTTCTTTGAGGGTTATAGAGCTAAAACGAGCCCTCTGACCCTCATTCGGTTGAAGATGACCTAAGAGTTTGTCAAGCAAGGTCACCTAAAATCTTTAGTTTAGTCAAAAAGTTGGTGCGACATAGAGTTTGGCTGATAAAATTTTGGTTTTGTCGATTTACCTTTGTTGTAAGGCGAATTTGAATTTTTGGAAAATTTTTGTGTGGTTTTCTTTCGCTTTGCCCGACGAATGTTTACTGCTAGCCGATAGAATTTAGAAAGTTGACCCAACAAAGACAAGTATTTCGTCTTTTGAACAATAAGTTCAAACGGGTCAAAAAAATCATCGAATTTGATGGCCATGCCAATTTTGTGTGTGTTTTTACTCTCAATTTAGGGCCTTGTAAAAATTAGCCAAGTTCAGAGTTAAAACGACTGTTAAATCGTAATTTTTTTGTTTCTAATCATCAAATGATTTCGTCCCGTTACCTATCTTCGAACGCTTTTTTTGGTATTTTTGGCATAGGAGATCCCAAAGTATATGTAAACATGTTTGACTATTGGATAGTGGAAACTAGTTTCGTAGAATACATGTCCCGTCAAAAGAATGGATTGCAAAAACACTTCGAGTTTATTCTATACTTCTCTTAAGTAGAATGTAAGCTTTTGTTATATCCACTAGTTTAAATATTTTAAACTAATGATTGGGTTCATTATCGTATTATCTAGGTTGAGGATTGTATTTGTTAAAAAGCAACAAAATCGGAGTTAAAACAATCATTAAATCATGATTTTTCATTTCTAACCGTCGAATGATTTTGTCCCATTACCTAATCTTCAAACTTTTTTTGGGTGATTCTTATGGTAGGAGATCTCGAAGTATATGCAAACATGTTTGACGGTTGGATTGTAGAAACTAGTATCGTAGAATGCATCCCATCAAAAGAATGGTTACAAAGCACTTGGAATTTATTTTATACTTCTGTTTGTACAATACTTGACTAATCCCGAAACTACCGAGTACCGGTTAACGTTATACCGTCAAGGGCACAAAAGAGTTTCCCTCCAACCAGAAAGCCAATCAAAGAGTGACACATGTTGACATCAGAAGCCAATCATAGCATGACACGTGTCAACATCAGAAGCCAATCCCAACACGACATGTGTCAATGTCAAAACAAAGCTAGAAACTCTCTTCTATAAAAGGAGATCATTCTCCCACAATATTTCCTAATGTCATTTGTACTAAATCATTCACTAGTACTCACTAAAGGAGAGCTTGAACCTATGTACTTGTGTAAACCCTTCATAATTAATGAGAACTCCTTTACTCCGTGGACGTAGCTAATTTGGGTGAACCACGTACATCTTGTGTTTGCTTCCCTGTCTCTATCCATTTACATACTTATCCACACTAGTGACCGGAGCAATCTAACGAAGGTCACAAACTTGACACTTTCTGTTGTACCAAAGTCCTCATCGATTTTGTGCATCAACATTTGGCCCGTCTGTGGGAATTGTCACGAAAAGTTATGTCAATTCTCTTTCATTTTTTCATCAAACCTCATAACCTCCACCGTGAATTTGCAAAAACCCAAGAACCAAACACCTGTACAGTCATTGCAAAACCCATGTCTTTCGCCTCTCTCTTTCTCTTTGCCTACAGTTGTTCAAGCTCGGAGACGCAACAATTGCGACGGGGTTGATACGGAAGGCCATAGCTTCTGCAGCGTCGTCGGGATCGACGACGGCGGCGTCGTTTCATTACGTCTGAGTCCGGGCTATAACGTCAGAGGCGCAGGCCCAAAAGGTGGACCTCAAAGCCTGAGGCAAAACTGACATTAAAACCTTCTCAATCTACCGGTGGAACCCGGACAACATGAAAAAGCTGAAGCTCAAGGAGTACAAGATTGACCTCAAGGAGTATGGGCCTATGGTGCTCGAATCCCTTATCAAGATTAAGAACGAGATGGACCCCACCTTCACCTTCCGGCGATCTTGCCGGGAAAGGATTTACGGCTCATGCGCCATGAACATCGACGGTTGCAATGGCTTGGCCTGCCTGACGAAGATAGTGTCCTCGGAGGCGGGCACCTCAATGATCATGTCGTTGCCACACATGTTTGTGATCAAGGACCTGCTGGTGGATATGATGAACTTCTACAACTAGTACAAGAGCATCGAGCCGTGGCTGAAACAGAAGAGCCCGGCGACGGAGTTGGATGGGAAGGAGATAAAGCAGAGCAAGAAGGATAGGGCGAAGCTAGATGGGATGTACAAGTGCATTATGTGCGCCTGCTGTAGCATATCCTGCCTTAGCTACTGGTGGAACCCTGAGTCATACTTAGGCCCCGCTGCCTTGCTCCACGCCAATCGCAGATGCATCGAGGCTGATAGGTTCCCCAACCTCATAGACTCCGGTGTCTCCATCGAATACCTCGGCCACATGCCGATTAATATAAGATCGAGCATTCTCATGCTGCTAAGATGTTTTACCTCTTCTTCGAATCTCACACCAACAAGAAAGATCATGTTGTTATTTGGTTGATTGGTGGTCTGGAGTGCAGCAGTGAATTGGCTGTATTTTATGAAAGTGCCGCACCACCGTGGATCGGCCTACGAAACCCAGACGAAGACGCTGTAAACTCGCCACGACCACCAGTGGAAAACCAACAAAGAAGATGAGTCTCATTCTAATTCATTAACTAGTTTATTATTTAATAATTTATTATTATTTTGTGTTGGTCTTGTTACTGTAGCGTTTGCTTTACATCTGTATGTATATTCTTTAACAGGAAACCACATCATGCATTTGCTTTACATCTGCGTTTGCTTTACAACATTTCCTTTACAGTTAGCAATATATATATATATATATATATATATATATATATATATACATATATAGTGCGTCCCCATTGGAAAAGTACCAACTTCTGCTTTTCCACTACTGCTGTGTGTTTATTATGCCAGTCACATCAAATACTATCATTATTTTATTACTATTATGTTTGCAACCCGAGACCCTTATCAGTATTATCATTTTGAAAAGGGAAACTGCTTTTTGAAAAGTACCAAATGGAAAAGCAGGAGTTGTTTTTTGACAAAAACAGTGGAAACACCAGTATTATTGCCTAAATGAACGGGATGACATGTTAGAATAATATGTTTTACATTATTATTAATGGTTTATCACATGACTATTTCCCATAGCTCGTGGCATGGTCTGACCAAATTAGGTATCCTCATTATTTGAATGAAAATATATTTATATAATACATTGTGTGTCTCCCTATTGTCATTATATTAAGATTACATGATACAATAGTCATGTATGCTCATAACGCTTTCTATCATATTTCACTAGTGACCTACATATTTAGGCAATTACTTATGCAATATTTATTCATTGCCTAGTGATATTGTGATGCCTTTAACTGTGTCACATATGAAACAAGTCATTTACCACACAATTTGCATAGTATGACATTATACTTTTGCCAAACTTTGTGATTGATTTATTAATTATGCATTCATGCTTATACTATTATTTATTGACATGACTTCGTTGATCAACATTGTTATTTATCAACTTATAGATCAATGAGCCACATGCTTATAGTGACAAAGATTTAGTCCGAACGGTGATCTCTTATCTGACCGGACACTCACTTGCTCAGACACTCGCTCATTTGGACATCTATGTGCTTGGACCATTGAGCTAGAACCCCGACTCACGGACCCAACTCACGGACCTTACGGATGGCCCCGATTCAAAGACCCGACAAACAGACCCGAGTCATGTCAAGAGTTAACTCATAATGAGCGCACACTGACGTCGAATGCATACTCATAATGAAGAAAGCCACAAGCCGAGCCACCTTACAACAGTACTGCTTCCAGTCGAGCAACCGCCTCGCCGAGAGCACTGCCTCTAGCCTAGCAGCCTCGCAATGTATGCTACCTCTAGCTGAGTATTGCTTGAAGTTAAGCACCGTCTCATGTCGAGTACTAGTTTTGGAAGACATCTAGTCACTTCAGCCCGTACATGGATTGGATTTGAAGTCTCTAACCAACGCATAGACCCATATACAAACCCAACAAGCGAATCCGAGTCATGTCGAGAATTAACTCATAATGAGCTCACGCTGATGTTGAGTGCATACTCGTGATGAAGAACACCACAAGCCGAGCCGCCTCGCAACGAGCACCATCCTCCAGCCGAGCAACCGCCTCTTCGAGAGCATTGCCTCTAGCTGAGCAACCTCGCAACGTGTGCTACCTCTAGTTGAGTATTGCTTGACATTAAGCACTGTCTCATGTCGAGTACTAGTTCTGGACGACATCTAGTCACTTCGGCCCGTACATGGATTAGATTTGAAGTCTCCAGCCAAAAGACTCTCTTGATTGAAGACTTGGGGACTCCTGTTATACTATATATTTGGCCTCAGTATTTGGTCTTCATTACTTAGCCCATGATTTATGTAAGAGGGGAGGAAACCCTTATCCTATAAAAGGGCTCCC